AAAATTAAAATTGGAACTATCTGAAGTTCAAAATTATCTACAGAATTAGGGTTAGTTAGAGAATGATTAAAATTAAAGTTGAAATCACCAATTTCATTAATCTTCACTTGGTCTAAGGGTCTGCTGTGAATTGAATGGTCACTTGAGTCAAGAATCTCTGCCATCCGACTACCTATTCTCTTAAGTAATATAATCCACGCAGATAGTCGGTAGTAATTTCTTTGGTAAAATTGTACTTCTGATATTTTGTTCACCAAATGTGTTCGAAGTATACGAGATTTGAAGAGTTTAACCAGACTGTCACGATTTCTTGAATGTTCCGCATTAGGTAATGAAGCAAGGAATTATTGATGCATTTTTCTAGATTGCTTGGATCCAATGAAGCCCTCTTTGAAGTTCGGATGAAATTTTCTGTTATACCGTTAGACTGAGGACGTCATGGGGCTGTGAATAGATGACGGCATCCGATGTCAGTAAGCCAGCTGCCCAACTTTTTCTGTAGATGGTTTCCATTGTCTATTAATAATACATTGGATATCCCTTTACGCCTGGATATATTTCCTTATCGCTGTTTGAGTAGTGTCTACTAGGACTGTTCATTAGTACCACTTCTGGCCATTCGGAATAAGAGTCGATAACAACTAAAGCACAATATGAGTTTAGTAACAGGTCACAGTAATCCGCAGGAATACGTTGCCACGATTCATAAGATTCAGGGAAATGATTCGAAAAGTAGGTTTATTATGCAATAACGTATGTAAACAAGCGAGAATTTTCCGATTTTCGACTTGTATCAGCGTTAATGTCATGGCACCAACAAACTTGATGCGTAAGTAATTTTTTTCTCTGTTCCTAGATTACAAATCAGTACGTTACGACACCAGTCCTGTAATCTATGGTGTTGACCTAAGATCATTAGTAAGCATTGAGAAAACTTATGAAAACGAAACAATATTGCTACTTCGTCCAGATAAGGGTTTCGGTGTAGTCATTTTAAACAGAGATGAATGCATTAGCAAAGTAATGTCCATTTTAAATGATTCTACTAGATTTATCATCGATAGTACTCAGGGAGGCTTAACAGATGAAACTGAGATGTGTCTTTTAAAAAAGTTGAGAGAAATCTTGAAGAAAATTTTAATCGATAATCTTACGTATAATGAACTCAAACCGAAAGGATCACAATTATCTTACTTATACTGCCTACTTAAAATACACAAGCTTAACATCCCGACAAGACCAATATTATCTATGACCAAATCATCTTTCCGTAAACTTGCCTGCTGACTGACTCAGTGCTTAGAACCGATCCATAAGAAACTAGCACCCTACAGTCTGAACAACAGTTTTGAATTTGTACTAAAACTTGACAACTTGATTACTTCTGATAAATTCATGGTATCGTTTAATGTCTCATCTCTCTTCACAGAAATCTTTTTAGAAGAAACGGCAGATATCATGTGTAAGCATCCTGAACTCCTGCATTTTGCAACCCAAGAATCAAAACAGCTCCTGTGCCTGTGTACCAAAAACATACAATTCCAATTCAACAATGTGTTGTACCGCCAAATTGATGTAGTAGCCATCAGTAGTCGTCCGGTTTCGATTCTGGTGGATATATTTATGGGAAACCTGGAACAGAGGACGCTTAAGCACACAATCGATGAAACCACACTCTACTGATGATAAATCTCTTGTCTACAACAATCATAATGATGCTATGAACCTACTCAATCTATTTAACAAAGCACACAAAGATATAGATTTTATTACGGAACATGAAGTAGAAGGTGAATTCCGTTTCTTAGATACTGGAATCAGACGAACCTCAGACGGTATATTACAAAGACACATTCACCGCGAAAATACCTGGAGTGGAGTTTATCCCGATTACAACAGTTTTTGTCCAATGACCGCACACGCAAAATTTGCTCAAAATAATACCTGGAAGATAAAAGTGCTCTCATCACAAACTGCCTACGTGAAAATGCATATCTGGCGAATTTCATCCAGAAATGTGACAAAGCCAACCCTCGGGTCAAATACAATGGAATGGAAAGGAAAACCTGCTTCATATACTTGCGCTTTAAAAGAGATGAAATCACTGGAATAATTAATCACAGGATAAATTCCGCGTTGAGAGTGGCTTATCCATCAGTAAAACTGACGACGTTATGTGAAACGAACTGCTCTCTCAAAAAAACAAAAATTGACAGGTTCACTTTTCTCAGTAACTCCAACTGCATTTACGAAGTTACATGTACGTTCCAAAGCATGTACATTGGAAGGACTGAGAGAAGAGTATATGTTCACATACCACTGACATTCCTCAATCTTTCAAAATTATCATCAGACAAAGAAGCACAGCGTCTCTTCGTTTCGCTGAAGCAATTGCGATAAAAAAACTCAAACCTGATCTATGCATTCAAAAGGAGATAGTAATAAACCTATTACTACCTTGGTAATTTAATTTCCTGGTCATTAGTTTTATTTTGTTAATGCCTAGTTTGTTATATTGCTCTTCCATTACTGAATTCTTATTTTATGTACATTTGAGCCACCCCCCGTTATTCATACATTTCCACTCACTCAATTCTTTTAAATTATATGAACTTGTGGGGCCAGTGAAATGTCACTGAGCCCTAGCCAAATCATCCGGCAGTTGGATCACTGATTATCGAACAGATCTTTGATCTCTGTCAGGGTCAAAACAACCAATGAGCATCAGTTAATCGTATGTCATGGGCTGGAGCATGCGGTGATGGTCTGAATATCTTCTTTGTACTCATTCTTACTAATATATTTCCGTAGTAACGTCCTTTGTGTTATATGGTCTTCAAAGTAGCCATAGTACTTTGATACGTCGAAGGAATAATACCAGTTAGATGCTGACCGCTAGGTGTGACTGCAAAATTAGCTGATTCGTCACACCATTCCCGTCTAACTCAAGTAGGCTTTGAATTATTCGACATAGATCATCAAAGCTGGTGATCTACAAACTTTTCAAATCTTGTTCAATTATTACGCAACTCACCTTACCAGTTTGTTTTTTAGTTCCAGGAACTTTGTGCAAACCCTTCATTACCTCTGAAATGATCACATCACCTACCTTTTATGTTTTTATTCTGACACAAGATGACCTCCTACCTGTTCTTGCACACATATACAAAATTATTATTGATAACCCTTGTCACTCCAATTATTTACATTCACTTATGTCAGTTGTTTCACACTATACGTTACCTCAGTGTAAATTTTAACACATATTTGGTTGTAAGCAGTTGATGAGAAACGACGAAATATAATGAATCCATATCATTATGCATCCATATGGGTTCTGGCTTTACTTAAATTAATAGAGGAGACTAATTGCATGAAATGATTGATATTTATATGCTTCAAACATGAAGGTGCTTATTTGTATATATTTTCTAAATTTAGAATTGTATAGTAGTAGCCACTCAGATCCTATCTACATTAAACATGTATTGTAATTTTGCACTTACAATATATTATGGACCGCGTGGTGGCTACTCTAAATTCTACCGATTGACCAACTGCAGATATCACAGTACGACCCCAATAGTGTTCCCTAATCTCCAATATATCAGAACACGAACCGTTAGATGAAAATTGTTCATGGGGTCAGGAGAATAAGAAGAATAAGAATGATAATTTACAGACAAATGCATGTTTATACAGTTAGGACTACCGTGAATATTGACTGACAGGAAAATGATACGTGAAATAAATATTGAACAATAGGAAAATGGTACGTGAAATAAATATTGACCAATAGGAAAATGACAGCATTTCCCGTTCAAGAATAGCATTAGACTTAATAGGATAAATTTTTGGATATTTTTCTGAATATCCCAACACAATAGTATAAATGAAATTAATGTGCATATAAATTCACGTATGCCAGTATTCAACTGTACATTTATTCTCGGTCAGAATTAGATGGTGATTGGAGGTAGTCGACAGGAAACCCTGGACCCGGGTTTCGTGCTACTTGGCACTCGTCAGCAAGGTGTACCTGTAATCTTCGAAGGACTAGACACGCATGACATTGGGTCACCCAGTGATCAATCAATTGTGATTACATGTCAGTCCTACAGGAGGTCGGTCGCGGCCCGATAGCTCAGTGGTAACGTCTCTGACTATGAAGCTGGGTGACACGGGATCGAATCCGCCAGGGAGAACCAGTTCCCTCGAAGATTACAGGTACACCTTGCTGACGAGTGCCATGTAGCACGAAACCCGGGTCCAGGGTTTCCTGTCGACTACCTCCAATCACCATCTAATCTCACAATAGTGCCCGCAGTGTCGAGTTACCTAGGCTGGTGATCACATTGCAACATGATCGATAGCATTCGATCTGCACTAAAAATAAGGACTAGACACGCATGACATTGGTCACGCAGTGATCAATCAATTGTGATTCGGTCAGAATTAGGCTAAACAGAAAAATACTGATGAGTAACTACTGTGTGTTATAAGTGAATCATTTATTCTTACTATCAAAGTAGGGAATACAAAATAATTGTCAGAGATATAACAAACTCGATCCGGAAAACTACCTCTCCTCCACACATACTCAAAGTCCACACCCGTTGATTTACATTTTATATCAGACTGTAATTCATATTTAACCAATAACAAATCAGACTAAGTTTAAACTTAAAAATGATTGGTGTATAAGTGTGTTAATATATATGTTAACAAATCGGATTATCATTTATGTGTGTGTTTTTATGTGTCTCATCTATGTGTGTTTGTAGATATATGTTCATGGAAGGGTAAAGTTTAAACAATATTCAAGTTTTTATATGTCAAGTTGTATTTTAAACAAACTTAGAGATTGAAATTTAAATCATTCCAACGTTTTGCCCATCAAACTGGTCTGAGCTTGTTTCAAGGTTGCATTATTATTTTATGGTATAAACGAATATATAAATAGAAATGAACTTTATTTCCTCTTAAATCTTAGAAAGCAATGACGACAGGAAAAAAGCATTTCAATCTTCACATAGTTTGTAAATTAAAATGAATAAAATAAATCTAATTGAATTCACTTACAAATAGTAATTTATCATAAAAGTAAATATAACATAATTACTGGCTAAAATAAATGAGGAAATTTAGAATAATCTTTCTGACATACATAATTTTTTAAAATTATTATTGAGAATTATTTCAATTGATTACATTGACATTATTGGTATTATTTTATTGAAAATAATAATTTGGTTCAAAGGAAGAGATACCATTGTACGCGACTGTACACAATTCAAAAGAATAAATTTACACAATCTAACTGAAGTACATCATTCTACATGAAAATTAAAAATAAAAGTAGGTTATTTATATATGAATTTATATGAATTTCAATTTTATTTCTACATTTTATTTTGTTCTAGTTTACAATTTGCATGAAAATTTTAGGCATTTACTAAGTCTATATAGAACAGTAGTTGATGGAATTCATACATAACATCTGTATGAAATCTAATATTATCATCATATTCAGTATACATACTGTATTACCAGTTACTTTATATATTTCGCAACCATTGAGTGTCAACACAACTAGAATCAGTCAACTATAATAAGAATATAACTGATTGTTATAAATTACCGGTATGGATAAGGTAACAGATATGATAATTATTTATTGGTTATAGTCTGAAGTCTCAACCGAAAAGATAATAGAACGCAACATGAAAACGAGTTATACCTATACATTTTACTTTCAACTTAAAACAGTATGATATAAAGAGTTAGTTATCAAACAAAAGGTTGATAACCAAGAATGTAACTGAAGGTCACACGGAACATCTATCTTATCATAACCAAAAAGAATTGTAACCACTGGTAAATAATACTACAAAGTTAATATTTCCCATTACTTCATTCATTTGAGTGCAAATTTTAGTGCTACAGCAGTTATAATCATTATAAATTTTGTTACGTCCTTGATCTGCCTACCCAGTAATAAACAGAAGATAACCAGTATCGATCTAGGCTAAGGCCTTGAACGATAGGCTAACTGGTTTAACCTTGAGGCTAGAATGCATGATTCCGAATTTGAACTGTCTTGGGTAGAGAGACGAAAAACTATTCTATTACTTCATTGGTTGACAGGCGAGACAGAGAGAAGACGAGCCGACTGGAACACTACTCGATTTATTTTCGACTCCAAATCCCAACTCCAGTTGAGATTAATTTAGAAAGATACATGAATATATAGATGACTAATACGACTACAACTCACAAACAATTATGTCCAAGCTGAGCATTAGGGTGGAAAAACAGAGCACCCAACCTTACGTTTAAATTACAATAGCTGTGGAATAGAACTGCGTATAACAGTGCATCATATATCAAACGAAACCTTATGGTTTGTATGGTAACCTAGGGACAAAACTAAATGTTGATGTTTCACAAGCTTTGAATTAAGTGAAGTAACCTCTCCAAAAATAGCTTCCGTTGTTTATCATGGCTTCTTTTTTTATTTACATCACACATAGAACTTGTTTGTAAATTTACAGTAAAATTATAATCACCCACCAATATGGGATTATTTTGATGGAACACTGTTTAGGATTCAAATACCAGAACGGAACAGTGGTCTCTGGTCTTCAATAGTACGGCTGTAAAGGTCAGTTCGTGACAAATTAAACGACTCTTCACAAAATCCCTACACCATTGTAGTATATATATAAAAGAAGTCTGAAGGGATGTTTTAAACTGTTCCTTCAGATAACCCAATTACTCATTATTAATAATTACTATAACATGAATAGTAGATAAATTAGAAAATCAGGAACAACAATGTTGGGAGAGTAAAATGGATGTATTTTATTTCGAGACTTATCATTATATGCGGACAGTTATAATGAATAGTATTATTGCAAACATTTTAAGCAGAGATGGACGGTGGCTAGCAATGGATTCCAAAACCGTCGTTCCGTCATGTTTGATACTAATTAACTCTATGCACCTGCACCCCAGTGCTGATGTATATACACCAACTCTGAAGTGCAGGTACGAGTGTAGCTAACTACTCCCAAATAGGACGAAACTCACATCATGTATTCCGCTGCTAGCCACTCTATTTAATATGAGTGTGACTTAAGGGTAATATCAAGGTAATCCACACAGCATGTATGCAACTCAAAAGAGAGAATCGCAGTTTTAAACATCAGTGAAAAGATTTAAACAATTAATATATATGAATTATTAATGTGTGGGCGAGAATGCTAATGACTGATTGTTTGCTTAGTCAGACATGCAGATAGTCTGACAGGTGTTAGATGAGTTATATATTCCCCTATCCTTATTATTATTTTTATTATTATTGATTGTTGATTGCTATTAGATTGTGTCGGCTTGTTGTCAGCTTTTGGTGTGGGAATATATTTACGTTCCAGTCAGGCTAATCACATGTTCTTAATCTCAGTTGTGTTGAAGTCCTGTAGAATAGACGCTTTGAGGGAATCTAGTGTAGATATTCGTCTAAGGTAAATTAACGTCCCATACATGTAGAAGAAGTAAATCCGAGATTTATAACAATTATTATACCATAGACAATGCAAATGAGTTTGAAACGAAATAAAAGCTAGGAATAAAACACTAAATACTTGACATATTACGGAAAACTGGTGTGTATTTATACATTGACAGTGAAGTTATCAGTAAATACAGTAGTTTTAAGTGCTGTTAGAGGTATGAAGGTGGTTATCACTTCCTGGTCGCTTATATTGTAGAAGGGTTCTTCTAGAGGTACCTGAAAGGGAAATCGGGTTACGATTGGTCTTAGTGATCTAGCAGCGTGACCGCAGTGTCCAAGGGACAACTGCCTCAGGCCGGCTACACACGAACTTTTTGTGAGCCATTTGCGTTTCATGTGGAGTACTTCCAATTATTACCTTACTTCTCAACATTTTGAACGTCTTTGTAATATTCGTCATTTGCATATCCTCCATCAGTTGTCCTCTGTATGCTTCATGACACTTTCATTTCTGTTGTTACTACAAATGCTTTTCATTTCCCTTTCTGTTTTCTTCAATTGAATCTCCTCAATCTTCTGCCGGTATGCAATCCGCTTCTTATTGGTGCTACATACTACTGGAGTCAGTCAAAATAAGTAGCATACACCGCACTTTGACAGCATTGAATCTAATTGATTGTCAAATTGCATTGAAATTTTCTTTCATTATTTTAAAAACATTTTTATCTAGGATGTTAGCTCTTCAAGTGTGTGGATGCATGAATAACTCAATGTATTAATATGTACACAATGATGTGTAAGATTGATAGCTATCGAAAAAATGTGAATTAAAGTCTTCCAACTTATAATCGAATTCAATAAATTCGATAACTTCTTCACATAAAAGAATAAAGTTACCTTATCATAAAACATGACTGACATTGAAACGACTTTGAGCTTTTTGTACCCCTAAAGATAAATTTTAGAGGTATAAACATTAATATTAAAGAAATTGTGAAATATTGAAATAAGTGTTTGGTTTCTCCCTGGTCGCTTTCTTCCCACTAAAATAGTTATTTAATTGATTGTAAATCCTCTCTTCATGATATCTGATTTGTAGAAATCCATATGAAGCATTTAGTTTTGATTGGATGTGGAATTTTCATGATTTGGAAATCATTCCTTCCAAAATTTCCTGGTGCTTAATAGTTTATTTACTTAGGTCACTTTACATCAATACACAATGAATTAAAGTCACATCATTAATGTGATCATTCTATATTAACCAAATATTTTAATCACATTATGTAATTTAGGAAAAGTATGGTAAAATGTTCGATATCCATCAATATACTAATAGTGTAGAAGTAGAAAGTTACGGGTAGTATAAAATGTGAAATAACATAGCAACTTTAAAAGAACTAGTATAATTTACCGTTAACTGTATTTCTGTCACAATCGATTCGTCGGATCGTTAAACATAATGCAAATCAATATTCCTTAAATAGGCGAAGCCGTTTGAACTGTACTTGTATCTGACTAATTATACTATGTGACAATGAAAAAAATAGGACTAGAAAATATACATTTGTCATTCAGTAGGAGACTGTTACTGCTTACTTATAAACATGTGCAGTATAAACAGTGTTGTGAATAATCCGTGCGTGAAAACTAATCAATGCGTTCAGCTCAGTCATCAAGAACTCTTGCATATTTGCGTTAAGGCTTATTTATTCTTCATTTCTTGATAAGGAATATTTGTTATCATAGTATATGTGATAATATCAATTTTAAAACAAATGAATTAATCATTATCTTTCTAAGCAAAGACTTGTCACTCTGTTACTGCTTGCTAGAAAATACGAATTATTCAGCAGACCAACTTCATCTATTTTATGCTATGGTTGGAACAGATTTCGCAAGGAAGGCTAAGTTGTGAACGATTACGGTGTATAGCTCACCGTTTTAAGTATTTAAGTTGACACAAATATTATTACATGCAATATCCAAATCCTTTTTATTAGAAACATCCGTCGACCTAAAATGACCTGGTATGTTTGGTTGAAAAGAAATGTAATAGTTGTTTAAAAATCAATATGTTCCGAAGGCCAACATATTCTGGTAAATATCTCGTGGTCATTCTACTAAAGTGACAGTTGTCAAAAGTTTGACTAACAGTTTGAAAACTCGTCACTGAATCAAGTAACAAAGACTAAGATGAATCTAATTATGTCCACATTAGCGATGAATGATTATCCTAGGGACTCGATAAAGAATGATTAAGAAAGAAGGATGCGAAGAAAGACAAACCGGAAGAATGGGTTAACACGGTGGTGTTCCTATATCGTAAAGAAATTTCAAAAGGATCCTAATTCATCACAATATGGACGTATTCTTTTGAACAAACAATATTGTAAACTAGCAAAAGTCAAAGACTTCAATACCGAAGGAAGAACAACAAAATTGTGTATATGAGATTAAATGTAGTGACTGTATTGCTATATATATGTAGAGACATCACGGCAGTTGAATATGAAGTTGAGGTAACATGAACTTTGCTCGAAGTGCATTCATAACTTGGAAACAAGTCAGCGATAGCATTACACTCAAAAGGGTCTGACCGTACAAGTGATTTCAATGGCACCATAATTTCCCAAAATCGTTTTAGCTCATGCAAAGAGATCACCGCCCGTAGCTCTTCTAGAGTAACTGCCGGTCTCAAGTTCGGGTGAAGGAGTAGGGTCAGGCATAGGGTTAGCGACCCCTTCCGGTAGAAAACTAACTCGCTAAAAAGACGCTAACCAGAAAAATGAGTCATACAAAGAGAGACTAACAACTGAAACCGTACACATAGGGGAAAATC